GGGGGGGGTGGAGATTAAATAAATGAGGCAACCTGCGGAATGAGTTAACACTGAATATGGAAGCATGCATCTTTCTTTTAAGTCTTGCATACTTTGAACTCTGGTTCTTTAAACTTACCATTTGTACTCAAAGCTAGGTTGGATCGAGGAACATTCTGGGTAAGTAAAATTTATGGTAGAGAAAACTCTCAAAGGGACTGACTTTCTAAGTTATACATACCTCGCTTCGATGAGGTAGAAAGCGCAGGCAGGGATGGTAACTGATTTATTATTTTAAAAATGAAGGAGAACAGGTTCGCTTCGGAAGATTTAAAGATTGGCCAACGACTTAGTGATCTATAGATGAGTCATATACGGAACCATTAGAAGTCCGGAATCAGTTGAAAATGATATTTATATGACCACCAAACTACCACTCCACTATTCGATAGGCGTATTTTGATATTTTAAAACAAATCTACTTGTTTTTAAATTTGTAAATACCGTTTGAGTTGATCTGATTGACTGAGAGACCGAATTTGTTACGAGGGAAAAAATGGCAAAACTCTAGAGCTAGACTTCTAGGCTTCTGGGATATTTTCATGATCACGGCGTTCAGAAGAACAAAGAGGTTGACTAATAAATGTGAGATTGCTCGCACTGTCACGTAAATTTATCATTTCCAACAGGCAAAAAATCTAATAGTTGTACATTTTTTGATTTAACAATGTTCATAGATTGGGACTCAGTCAAGTTGAACTTTGATTTAAACGCTTTTTAATAATTAAATATTGTGAGCGATCATACTATCCACAATTTTACCAGACAGCACACAGTCGTGTCGTGTCTTTTAACGTTTCTTCACGACTTCTAATTGATATAAGTGAGCTACGGATTCGATAAATCTACGAATTTTGTCCACTTGGCTACTTAAAAGTCGTAAATTCCATTAAAGAACATCAAGCTCCTGTGGTCTACTCTGGCCGTTTAATATCATTCCAACTCCCATTCAAAAGCTCATTTGCAATCGGATTTCAAGGAAGCGATAAAGTGCTCTTGCAAGTTGAAGAGGTGACAGACGCAGTGATGACCAAGACGGTAAACTTTGTCAAAAACGACCGAACTGTGGAGGAAGTAAAGGAGAATGATTTCAGAGTAAATGCTATCTACTTTGCTACCCAGCATGATGAAGAAAATCCGCCTTATGAAATCTCCCTGAAGGTTGGAGGAAAATCTGTCACATTTGAACTGGACACAGGGGCCGGAGTGACTTTGATTAGTGAAAAATCGTTGGAACCACTGCCTCCAATGTCTTCAACGAATACATTAATACGTGACTACTCTGGAAAAAGACTTAATCTTCGTGGAAAATTCATTGCGAAAGTGGAGTATGAAGGAAAGCTCTATGATCTGATGGTCTATGTTGTAAAAGGTAACCATCAAAATCTCTTGGGAAGGAATTGGATTAACCAACTCACCAGGATTGATTGTCCGGGGAAACATGCAAGTGGTAAGGACTATGTCGACATTATTACTCTTCAACGAAAACGCATCGTGGTTCCATCCTCTTCACTTTTCCTACCGTCTTCACTAAAGACCAGCAAGTCTATTGTTCAAATTGATGGAATTTGCTGTGAAGGAATCAAGAAAATATGCGACGGCGCACTGTCAAAATACAGGAATTTAAAAATATAACTTTTATATTAAATCAATGTTGGTTAACAGAACGTGTGACTTTTGTTTGGAATGTTGATCACCTCATTTAGTAAATCGTAGGAACTGTGTTGTTGGCTAGGGTTTATGATAGAGGATCATATAGGCAAGACATTATAGGATGAAAGAACATATTACTTTATAAGAGTCGGCCACAGAAGTAGGAGAAAGTAACTATGTACCCACGGGAAAGTAGTATGGCTCTTGATCTGCCTCTTTCTTTCGTTCTGGTTAGTGAGGCTGTTGGCTTAGCCTATTCCCTATTCCTGGGAAACAGCGTATTTGTCATAAAATGTGGAGAGATACGTTGCGTCACCTTCTAGACAGGAGGGCACACTTTTGAAACGCTGAAAGGATTGGCTAAATTTTGACTGCATTACTTGAGGAGTGTCCTTTAGTCTATATGACATCCAAGAGATTAGTTTTTAGTGTGCGTTGAGCTTTTACTTACTGCAAAGCCTTTCTAATCGAAAGGGAACCAAATCGTTAGTTCTTCATCAGAATGTCTCATCTTACTCAGAAGGTTCTTTGCTTTTGCCAGAAGAAGATTTTCACTGTTTTTTTCGTGAGAAGTTGACCTCTACCACACCTCTATGAGTTTGTGGTAATTAAGACCTTCAGTGATGGCAAACTTCATGTTAGAAATTGAAACCTTTAATTATGGCAATAGTGCGTGAATTACGATGTTAGAGCGCTCAAATACTTTTTGCAGTAGATTTTCAGTCACACCAAATGGTTTGTTACGATGAAGTCTTCTAGACACAGCAACGTCGTAATCTCCTTGCAACTCTCCAGTTCATGCAGGTTATTTACGCGAATATTTTATTTTAAATAACTATTTCAGATATAAAAGTTAGCGATACATAGAGCGACACTCGGGCAATGCGATCGCGCATTTATAAAGTCTATTAAATTATGGCGTCAACCGTTGAATTGGATGTCGGTAGGGAATTGTGTATGTGGGATCGAAGGAAAACAAAGCAATCACCGTGACAATGCCTTCAACCCCATTATGATAACCTTGTCAGTCCTTGTTAATGAGCCAACTGAAAATTGGGGGGGGGGGGGGAATCAGGCCCCCAAAGATTTTTGAATCACGTTTTTATGACCATTCTCTACTGTATTGTTTGCTTAACCTTCTTTCAATTCGATACTACATCTTCATATTTTTGCCATTAATTGGAACACATTCCACCATTTGTTACATTTGCTAATTCGTTACCTCTGATTTAATTTTTTCCCATGCATACTTCTAATGAAAGTTGCACACTTTTATCGAGACTACATTTGCAGAACTTTGTGAACCATTAAATGCTCATATGTTCTTCAGGCCGATTGATTATTTATAATATCATTGGAACTATTATTTGGCAGGCTCGTGAAGAACTCACCTCGCTGACCTACTCCCGACCACCTTTTCTACCCCCACGACCTGCCACGGTCAGTCAGAGTTTGGAGCACTTGCCGAGCCAACAGACAGCCCTGGGTCAAAGGTCAAGGATATCCGGTTCATTGATGCCTTATCCAATCACCTCCACCCTCTCCCTTCATTCTGGATATGCTGCTCCTCTTCAACAAACCGGTCCACATGTTGTACCCTCGTTAGCTTCGAATTACTATGTGAGTTTTTGAATTTATACTTTGAAATGATTAATTCAAGGGAAGTTTTTTATGCTGTCTAGAAAGGCATTTTTATTCTATTACTTTGAGAAAGAGTGGTGTTGCTGAAATTCAAGCAGTATGGAAGAGGAAAGTGTGTAAAGATGGTTTTTAGTGTCACCACCAAGGGCCTACTAGATCTAACGGTTTTTGGAACGGAAATAAAAACTGGAGTATTCTTCAATGGCTCTCAATTGTTTGCTTTCCTCGATCAAACTAATTACACATGTTTGTACACGCTGTTCCATTACTTTTCAAATACGTGTTAGCGTCGACTACTTTATGGGTAGTGTTTAATGATGGAGAAGTTCACTCCGACACCCACAGCATTCTATGCATTTTTCTTGAACTATACTACACTTTTTACGGGTTTAAAAGTCGGGAATTATTAGTCGAATTGAAGTTAATTGAAGCTAACCACAAATTCCAACCAACCAACTTTGGCATGGTCTTTTGGGCATTTAGTATGACTGCTTATTAAAAGTAACTTGCAACCGGATAGGCTCTAATTGTATGCCTTAGAGTGTGACGAAAAATCTGTAAATCATTTAGAAGGAGAATTGGAATGAAGCAATGAAAAAGTAGATGTCTGAAAGTGAATCACGGTAACAATTAGTGTAGATGAGGAATAGATTAAAAAAATACTACTCTGTGTCTTAACGATTTAAGCTCCAGTTGAATTTGTAATCGCCTAAACGTTCCTTAACGCCTATTTTGATTGAATGACACTTTTCTTTACAAATACACCACTTGCATTAAATTAAACGAAACCGGCAAACCTACTGCATTTTGGTCACGGATATGTTCACTTTGATTATTTTGATAACATAACCGGTCAATTTGAACTAGCTATCATGAAGTTCTCTAATTCTCTTCGACTCCAACTTCTAACGTTCAAAATTTGTAGATTCAACAACGATTAATCCAGCAAGGCCAACAACCCACAGTTTACCCGTGGCCAGGTGAAGGACCAAGTATAGGGGGATCTTTCGCAGGTCATAACGGACGTCTCTTTAACGGTTTCAGCTATCCAGGCCACTTGAATTTGACTGGAGGAGGAGATGAGCCAAGTCGACAAGGAGGTGACCTTGGAGGAGGTCAAATGAAGGCTAATCCATCGGCTGCCACTCAATCCAGACATCATGCTTTTGGCGAATACAGCGGAGTGCAACAGTCAGGAGATGGGATGGGAGGATATGGAGGTGGAGTTCTCCAATCGGAATCTGCGCCAATGATTGCCCCGACATCTTTTCGAAGACCTTCATTTCCTCATGTCCAGCAACCTCCATTTTGGGCTGGAGTGTTTTCTATGGTGAGGCTGATGCTCTTTTTTGGTATGATTTTTAAATTGCTCAAACCACCAATGAGACTTTCGAATTATAAACCTCAAATCCCACCAATCTAACGATTGTTAAAGATTAGCTTCTGTATTCTGGTAATTATTTTTTCAAAAATACTTAATCCATTGTATAGATTCTGAGCTAAAATTTGAAATATTTCTGAAATGCGTATTCTTTCGCCCTTACTACCGATTCTAAATATACAAGCTGTATGTGACTGCGTGATTTCACACAATTTTTCTAATTCTCTTTGGTTTTAAGCCAATGCGAGCCAAAGACGTGATGATATCGCTAAAACGGAACCTTGTGAGGCAACCAGATGCTTTTAAGTCAAAACATTGGGAATGCAAAGCCACTTTTAAGATAATAAGAAGTAAATTAAAATTATAATATGACCACCAAAATCAATTCATCAAGCTTGTAACGTGTTGACGAATCAAGTAACGTTATGGACTACCATTAAGTGGTTATATAGACCTGTTTGATCAAAATTAGGTAGTAAATTTGGGTCTTCTGATTTTTCTTTCAGCTGAATTATGGATCAATATTACTTTGACCTTACATCATAATGACCGAAGCTCGTGATGCTATGTCTCATTATACCTAAATTCTTATAACTGCAACCTCTTGGTTCCTAAAGTAGTTATTATCCGCCATTTTTGGGTCTTTCGGTCGATCTCTCCTAAGTATGACTTTGCTGTTTAAGCATTGAGGGGTTCATTAAATTTGAATAAACTGAACTCAGTTAATCCCTAGAAAAATGTTTTATTCTTTACAGAATACTTACGCGAATCCCTACGCAAACTACCCTTATACTCCATCCAACTCTGCTACACCTCTATACTGCTGTCCACCTTATGGATATCGTGGTTATAACCCCATGCCCTATTACGATACTAACACTGCGTCCGCTCCAGGATTTAGCCAATCAGTTCCTTGTGCACCTGTCTCCATGCCAATTCTCAACGCAGGTGATGAATTCTACATGACCGGTGGAGGAGAAACCGAAGAGCTGCCAGGTCCCAATGGTTACTATCAACCATCCTGGTACCCCTACTACGACCCCTATTGGCAATGGATCCGAGCCGCCACTGGGTCAAGTGCCGGTCTCGAACCCAGGTCGTTTGACGGGTGGCCGCCTAGTGTTGTTCCTCCAACACCCCCTCACCCTCATTTACCTCCTCCTCCACCCCCTCCTTCTACCCAAATTCCAATGCCACCCTCAACAAATGCTCCTTTAAGTGCACTGCTTTCGCCTTATGCTGGACCAACGAGAAGGCGGATTCAGCAGCAGAAGTTGGCTGCAGCGAGACAGCTGCAGAGGCAACAACAACAGCTACAACAGCATCATCGTCATGGTCAAGGTCATGGGGGTGCAGGAAGGCAGGTGCTTCGTGGGATTTCGCTTCAGGATTTACCGAGTAGGACTAGATCAGATAGTGAAGGTGGTAAGTCGGTTAGCATTTTATTAGCCGTTACTTTTTATATCCACCGTAAGATGAACACAAAGTCGAAGTATCTCTGCATATAATTCGGGATTCGTCAAATTCTATGCCTAGAACGGCAATTGAGCATACATCCGCGTGCAGAACAGTTAATTTGAAATAGGATTTATGCGAAATTTAATTATTTTCATAATCAACATTACTGGTATAGATTTGACTCTAAATATGCCTGTTGTGCTAAATTAATAATGAATAGGCTTTACTCTCATTGCTATTACTCATTCGTATAAATATTTCAACGCTCTAATTGAAAGGAAAACTTCAAGTGTATAAGGTCTCTATGACTTGGTGCTATTTCTGAATAGCAATAGCAAAGCTGCGTCTATCGAAAGAAATAGGGAAAACACTGTCAATAATGGATTGAAAAAATGTTCTTGAAAGAAATTGAATAAGTTTTTGAAAATTTCAATTTTATTTCTGCCATTGTGATGTAAATATTGAAAGCAAATAAACTATCTTTGAAAATGAAACACTAAATGAATGCCGTTTTTAGGTAGTTAGTCTCTGATAGATGCACGAGAAATGGTCATAGAATAAATGAGAATAACGCAGGCATCCCCTTTTGTTTGCTAACCCCACTGGTTGGTACCCATTGGTCCATTTGAATTAGTAGATGATCTGCAAAGGAGAGCAATGCATACTTGGCCACAGCCAAATAGATTTGCTTTTGATCGCCAATAATTTTATCGCCTTCCCTTTATCAGGGCATTTGGTTATCCCATTAAATAAATGAGTCCCGATCTCCAGGTAGATATAGTGCTAGCTTTACGTGCCTAGCCTATCTATTAAATAGGGTAAAAGTACTATTTCACGCACCCTTAAAGGTGTGCCAAATGCAATTCAGTAGAATTGTGGAGTGGAACTAAACTAGCTTCTACAAACGTACGAGTAGATGCGGAGCTTTATTCACTAAAAGCGAGATTCATTGCAATGGCTTTTTAACGCCATTTCAAATTGAGTTCTGTGCTCTTAAGTATCTTAAGACCTCGCAACCTACAACCTATTTGAAATTGCGTTCAAAACATCAGGAGACCACAGTGAGAACCCCCTGGTTCAAGGATTGAAGCTACCTTAAAACTGAACTAGTTTAAATCATGCGAATTTAAAATTTTGTGCATGCATTGTTTACGGAAGAATTATGCTCTTTATCTTCAGACCAACATCGGTTTTAATGAAGCTAATTTAGAATCAGGGAGGTTAATAAGATTCACACAGTATAATTTTTCGTCTGTGAGTGAACTAATCGGAAGCCGTTTTAATGAAATTTTGCAAGGAAGAGAAAATTAAATTATGGTGTTTTTTAAAAAAACATTACCCGCAATCATCAAACCAAATAGGAATTAATTAGGAAACAGAGGCAAATGTTTAGTTGAAAATCTTCATACTCACAAACTATCTGACGCAATTATTAAGCACATAAAGCAAAATTTTACCATTTTTAAATGCGTTAGTGATAGACAACGAAAACGCGTACAGTGTAAGGGATAAATGGGTAAACAGAGAATAGCAACAATGGAGTATTGACGAGTATTCATTCATTTGATCTTGAGACTTGGATGGTACTGTATTTACTACTAAATAGGTAGTTCACTTATTTAAAAGTTCATATTCTATGGCCTGTTCACTGGACAGCAGCAAATACTTGACATCAGCGGGTCGGTCTTGCCCCCTCAGTTTGTTATTTCTACGAAAGGTCTGGTACTATACCCCTTTTACTTCTAGTTTTGACATGGCATACCTCCAAGGCGATATTAATTTTCCACAGCTTTTAGTCATCGTTTGCGTTAATCTGAGTTGGATGAAGTTGGTCAAAGTCGTATGCTTATCGCTCCTAATTTACACAAACCTTTTCAATATATTTTACTTGTAAGGAACCAAATGTAAAAGATGCTTACAAATAGGATTTGATCAACCACTTCCCAAAATACTATTTACGGTTTTCCATGGTCTAATTTCAATCGATACTCGGAGGTGAGGCTCTGCCAATTGTAATTAAAGTGCTTTGATTAAAGGGTGAAAAGCAGGTGTCCTCCTGTGTCTCCTGATGTTCGTATTCGATCTCCCTTCGAGCCGTGGGAGGTTTTTTTCTTAAGATCGAAGAGGCCTTAATTGTGAACGAAAACATTTATTTGAAACCTCCTCCATCAATTGGATTGTTATTCACCTGAATAAATAAGAGAGATTGACATTTGGATCTCAATAGTAACCCAGACCTTTTTTTCATATGTTTCGCACTTTCACACCTTTCCTTGCGAAATGCCGATTTTTCTAACTCGCATGTCTTTAACTACTACTTAGGACGAAATTATTAGCCCTAATTTTAATTAGCAATATTTTCCTTCCTTTTTCTCAAGTCCATTGCTTTAATAAGGCTATGCTTGGTGAAAAAGATGCGGGCAAGTTAATAATCAATCTAGTTATTGATTTATTTTAGATTTAATGCCATCTAATGTGGTTCTAATTTTTTTAAGCAATTTATGTGGAAAAGATCTGATTAGTGGAAAAGTTGATAGCAGGACTTAATTAAAGGCAATATGTCACGATATCAATATATGGGCCTAGACGGAAATGCGCATTAGCTCTTAGGCAAGCATTTCGGGTGCTAACTCAAGCTGTTAGACGAATAGACACGAACAGCAGTGTTGATAATAAATTTCTTTTGAAGCTAAGAAACAACTGCGCAAAAGAATTGAAGTGCAAGCTAAAATCGAATATTCGAGTAGGCAAAAATAGCAAAGTGGATAAACAGGGTCTTTTTTGTCTGCCTTTAGATTTCATTAAAGTTCTAACTATGTCAGAGGAATTAGAATAAGCCTATTAAATTATGAACTAAACCAGTTTGTTGATATCGAGAGTACTTATCTGGTAGTAGTTGTGCATTGCTCCATTGAGTTCGAATCAACTGCTGCCTTCTTCATAAATTAGCATTCGGGGTCTCAAATAGGAAAAGGGGCATCCCTCTCTCCTTAGTCCATTACGACTCCGTCTTGAATCGTTTTTTCTCATTCAGTCTTTACCTTACTTAACCCAGACTTCTTTCCTACTGTGATACGATCACATGTCATTTACTTAACCCCCTTACCATTGTTTGAATAAATGTTCATCCTTGACCTTGAGTGAAAAAAGCTTACGGAGCTCTGCGTACTTGCAATATTTGGTCATCGCATCCCTGTTTTTATTAAAACTGCAAGAAATTGGGCATCATGTAGTACCACTTCCCTTATCAACCACTGGTAGACAAAGTGAAACGAAGTGGCAAGACAGACTTCTCCTAATAATAAAACCCGTGCAACAGGCACCAAACATCACAAACTAACATTTGTTACAATCTAGTGTAGGATGCCAGTAATTTGCATATTGTGCTGTCCCCTTCCAAAGCATAACAAAGTAGAATTTTGCAATACTTGGCCTTTGCTTTCAGAAATCGATGCTCTTCCACATATTGAAATTACCGTTTGCCGAGTTAGTTTGCTCTTCAATAACAAAATAGAATGTCCATTTTTGTACTTCTATGTGCAGTGATAATCTATTATCTTTAAAGAAGAGCTGACCACTATAGTTTAACTATTTTAAATTAATTATCTGGTTTTAAATGGTTGACAAACAATAAAACGGAGACAATACATTAACCAATATGAAAGATTTAATATTTAATTACAGGGAAGCCAAATAACCCCAGGGGTCAACTGGAACTGGAGATTTTTCGACACTTGTGATTACTGATATGTCCACGTCTGCAAGCTGTTAAGAGCTAACCTACCGGCTCAATACTTTTCATTTATTGGGAGTGCTGGCGATATTTTCGAGGGTCAACTTCACATTGTTTTAATAAAAAGTCCTATTGTAGAAAAGAGACTATTTTGAGCACGATGTATATCCTTCATTTAAAAGGCATTAGAGATCTAATTAGTGTTATTTATTTATGTTTAAATTTATTTTCCAATAAATTTTCTGTTTATCATAGTGGGTCACACATTGGAGTACTCAGCCTCGCGTCCTTCTTTGGTTCAAATGACAGGAGCAACGTCTTCAATCACTTTTCAACCGTCCGATACACAGGGACACGGTCACACTGGAAGTGGAGGTGAGGGCGGTGAGGATCAACAACCACCCGGCATTTTCACATCCCCTCCTCCACCAAATCTCATATCCAATCAGTCAGCCACATCGGCGGAACAACTCCAGCTGGCTTATCAGCAACAGGTGAGACTGCTTTCTACTTTCTCTATTAATGACTACCGCTTAATTGCTTGACTTCTTGGTCTAGTTAAAAGTCAGAGCAAGAATCGCGTATGCATAAAGGCTGATTAAATGTCGCCGGCATCATCAGGTTATGTATACCGTTTTTTTTATTTCATTGCACACATTCATTGATATAATACAACACATTTGAAAGGTTAGTTTGCTTAAACTAATCTGACGAGAAGATTCTTATCTCTTTAAGGGCCTGAGTTTTGTCTGACATCTAGGAGAATCCGATCCGTTTTCTCCTGTTCACTACTCATATCAGACATAGTGTATTCTACCCTAGTTCGAGTATTTGTTAAGATTTTCGTGTTCATAATTTCTGAAATCCTACTTAGTTTAGGAAGCGTCACATTTGTATTTAGATTGTAACCTAATAATACCCAATAAGTTGCAAACTCTGATTTAATTGGCCTAGTTCAAGGCTGCTACTTTTATATTTGTAGACATATCATTTTTTGTTTTCGCCAAACAGAGGGCATTTTTAAAAGCATAAAAATTAAAAAATACGTTTTGTTATGGACGGTGTTTAAGCTGAAAGAATTCGTCACTAGAGATTTCACAAATTATTTCTTATTCGAATTTTCGTGACTGGTCAGTTGTCCACTTTTGTAAGGTAGGTCCCGATAGGATATCTAGTCATATTTCTATGATATACCCTCCCACTCTAGATATCGCCAGACTACGATTGACTCAGGCTAGAGAGGTTGCAACAACATTCAATTAATTTAAGGTATTTGAATTATCAAATTTCCATAATGTAGTAATGCAAACTGGCTCATGCTGCTAACACAGCCCGACGGATAAAATTTCTGACCCTAAATAATCGCCAAGTTGTCAAGACAGCCTGTTATGGTTGTTTATTCCAAGAAAAAACTTAGAAACTGTATCTGAGCGTTGTTTCGTCGGCTTCTAATCACGAACTGAATCGCCTCCAGGGAATGTGGAGGTGGTTAGACAGCTGAATTGGGCTTTCAAAGTCCGATGAGAGATAATAGACATTTTGCTTTTGAGCCTCAGTGAAACGCTCTGGCCCCAGCATAACGGTAACAGTAACTGAGACGTTCCGGCCAAGCGACTTCTAACTTGGCTGAAATGTGGACTAACACATATGGTAACTAATCAACCAATTGTTTCAAAATAGCAATTCCATTGTTTTTTCACTCTTTCAATAGTCAATATTCAGCATTATTTTTCGAGTCGTTATTGGAACTACTGAATCATCGCATCGGCATGTTTGAAGTGGTTGGATTTTTAGCGCAAAGGGGTAAAGGAAACGCCTATTGAGAAATTTGTTCGCGCTACATATTGACGCTTCATTTATCTTACTTCAAAGGGTTCGGTGCTAACAGAACTACTATAGCAGTTCTTTTTGTGATTTATAGGAACCGATCTTACCGATAGTACTCCCAAAACGCTCTGCTTATTTCCCTACAGACAATGCAAGCAATAGAATGGTCCGGTTTCAATATTGGTTATATCTTATTCTCATATAGGAATCGACGCTTTATTCAGTCAGGTTGAATTCAATCGGTTTAGTTTGTTATTTGGGAGCTTTGAATCAGAAGTCACATCGAGGTCATGCTATTTCTTTTAAATCATAGGTCTTTGGTATATTTTCATTAAAAAGAATTATTGTCTTCACTAAGTTAGATGTCTGAGAGCAGATATAGGTGTCCATCATGGTCTCAGGCGACGTCAGAAAATAAATTTCTGGTTCAGTTAATGTCCCTCTTAGAATTGATAAATAAATAGACCTGGGGATGCTTAACTGCAGTGTTCACCTTAAATCAACAGTCAAAGCCAACTGTGTATTTAACTGTCTCACCTTTTCTCCTTTCTTCCCCAAATAGATCCGAATGCACCGTCGCATTTGGGAAGAGTGGATGTGGCGAGCGAGTGCTGCGGCTGCCTACCCCCCACCTCCTCCTCCACCACCTCCATTGCTTCCTCAAAGAGGTATAACGACTGTTGTAGCCAGTGGCGTACCCCAGCAGCAACGGCAACGTCAACAAGATCATCACCCACAACAACAACAACAACAAGGCGTTCGTGCAACTTCCTCGGCATTTCCTTCACCGGGTCTTGGTGAAAGTGGTGGTGGTGGTACAGCGGCCTCACTCAAAAGAATGCCCCCGCCTCCACCCCCCAGGTACAGCTTTCGATTTATTTTCTCTCGACTGTTAAATGAGGAAAAAACTGTAAAAGGAAAAAGGCGTTTTCAGTTATAAAAGGGCAGACCACAGTACAAAGGGACAATAGGCAAGTGTTCAACGAAATTTAAAGGAAATCGATAATTGGGGGGGGGGGGGGGGGGGGGGGGGGGGGGAGGGGGAGGGGGAGGACGTGAATTGCATTTCTATTGTTATAAGAAATGAGTCTTGAAGGAGGACATCGCTTCTTCTGTCAGTTGCCTGCTTTTTTGCATAGTGCGGCCAGACAGCCCCATGCTACTCACCCACAGTTTCTCAAAACTCATTGAGTATGAGGAGACGTGGTTTAAATTAGACAAGATACATTAGTCGGGAATTTATATGATGAATTATGACTTTATTGATGCACAAGAATTGTGTATAACTAGAGCATGACTACGATTACTGATTTGGACAGAAAAGAGTTCTTTGGACAACGGGTCCATTGATGGGTGATGATTGACCTCATTAGGGTTTTAACGGAGATGAGTTGCTTTGATGACGTATAATATTTCTTCATCTATTTTTTAAGTATCCAGAGTATCACATTCATAAGCTCTTGTTTGGTTATTGGACACTTGTTTGTCAGTACTGGCATCCATATTTCATACCATAATTTTGATAAAAGCCAATATAATTGTCAAATGCTTGCATATACATTCCGAGCATTTTCATTTGAAGCTTAAATGTATTTTTCTAGAATATTCCGACACACTTACTCATGTTAAAATATGACAAAATGTTAATAATATGCCTATTCATTGGAGCCTCTAATTTTACTGACTCGTAACCCTGCGCCAATAAAAGACAACTGACCTACTACCTCTCACACAGTCTCCCACGATCAAGCGTCAATGTCCAATTTCACTAATCCACCCTCTCTAACTTTTAAGCTACGCACAATACATGGCATCGGGAACCTCTCCACAATCTGCAGTACAACAGCCTCAGCAGCACCTCACCCCAGACATTCGAGATCCCAGCGGACCTGACGGATCCAGTTCAGTGGGCTACATGGGTCTCGATTTTCATGGAGTTGCTCCATTTTCTGCTTCTCCTGGAGTGCTCACGGAGGGTCCACAGGTACCATGTTCCACAGAGGAACCTTTCCAACGCCATCATGAACATTTAGGATCTTACAGTGGTCTGCACCGAGGGCAACATCCTGGTAAATCAATAGTTGACAGTCATATCATTAATTCAAACCTGAAACACTCACTAAAATTCATCTTTCTAAAGTTTTTAATAGTGGAATTATTTGGGTAAATATTTAACATATCAACTGTCAAATTATCGTTTGTATTTGTCATTGCTTTTTTCCCTGTACTTACGGTACACTTGCTTATCTTCTATACACAAACGCAGATATCTGCTTGACCTTTCAGGTGACTTTCAATTTGAGGATTTTGCCCTTTGACACTTAAGATATGATTTATTTGGGCCTATTTTGTTAAAGATCATGCAAAAGCCTATTTAATATGACATGGCGTAAAGTGTCAAGATTTGCAAAAGATGGAAAGTAAGGAGCATGCGGACATCTTCCTAGCCTCATCAGAGTTATCTGACTTCGGAGGTATGAAATTAAGCTTGTCCTGATTTGACCATCGACCAAGCTGGCTTGCTCTATTCGCCTTCCCATTGATCTGAGCCCATGTTACTTTTGTGTTGAAAACTTGGTCATGGGTCTGCATCTAACACACTTTTTGATTTGCGGGTGATTCGAAAATAGTAGCCAAACGTGTGGATACCCTATTTAATTTTTAGAATTGGACAATTTATGGAAGTTATTACAGAAGCACCTGTGGGATGAAAAACCCTATATTTTTGAAATCCAATTGCCAAATTCTGTACAAAGGCACTGGTGCTAAAGCAAATTTAATTTAAAGTTGAAAAAGTCCAATCCTATATTGCATCACAAAAATTTTAAAATTATTTTAAAATATTTCTAATAATTACTACTGTTTAAAACCAGCTATATGTTGTTTTTTGCTTTCAAGGTTCTGTGGATCGACTCAACACAATGTCCCGAATTGGGCGAACCTCTGTTCCAGGCTATATAACCAACAGTCATCTTTATGCTAACATGACCATCGTCGATGGTAAGCTAGTTCCCCTCATGGGTCGACCGGCACCAGCTCTACCCGAACCATCCCCCCGTTCAGTTATTAAAGTTCCTCCGGGAAGCGATGACACAAGGCTAACAGGCCAACGCGCAACCACTGCCTTGACCCGTCAATCTCGTCCCTTAACCCGCTACCACTCTTCACAGACTGTGTGGCTCAGTGGGACAATTTGTGAGCCCTCAGAAACGTCTCGCCAACAGGCGGCTCCACCCGAAAGTGTTTCCCCTCCTCAATATGCTCCTACAAAAGTAGAAATCCCGAAGAGTGTCGGCTTCTGGGAGCAGTAATCATACAGTAGCCTCTCTTCCTCACTCCTGTTCCTTAGGTCTATTTTCAAATTGATGCTCTGTGTGTTCCAGTCTTTCATGATTACATTTGTATGAGGATATGTATTAACACCCACCAATTGCCCATTATTTTATTTCAGTCTTCCTGTTCTTGATTTTTCACTCTATTTCTCTCTTTGTGTCTTGCTCTGCAAATCTGAAATCTGCACTGATCTTCCTGTATTGCATTGTATATGATCTTAACTGGTATAAATCATTAAGCCTTAGCGCGTATGTATGTATGTATGCTATTACCTTATTTATGTACTGATCTATCTTTCGAGCATTCGAGGAATATGAATAGAAAATTTGTGCACGTAACTGGTCTTGTTTTCGACCTTCTCTTGGCTTAAAATTTAATATGTGGGATCGAAATTAAGCTTCCGCATTGATAGTACAACTAGCGACAAGCTGGCACGTGGGTCATGTGGTGCAGCCTGACAACTGATGCATTCACAATCGGAGTTGCTATGTTTAATGCAGGTGTTGACATTAGAAATTGGTGGTGCTGTCTGAACCAAACAAGAACTAAAGCTAAGATTCTATTTGGTGATTTCTGTTCTGCTTTAATAAGCATAAAATCTCAACTCTTGTGAGGAGCCTGGTGTGTTGGAAGATCAAGGACGTTTTCGTCAAAATGCAGAAGAATTAAAGGACGGAATGTGGAGGTATAGAAAAATCAGTACCGAATATGAGAACAGAGGATGCATGAGCAGACACGCGATAGGGGAGTTAACTTGACCCAACATAGCACTCTTAATTCGCTCGATGAACTAGGAATACAGGCTAATTAATTGACGATCAGTACAAATCAGGCACGAGCCTGGTATTAGGAGTACCAATAGAAAGCCTTTCATTTTGCAGATGTTTGAGTAGAATTCGCACTTAGACAAGGTGAATGGAATATTTATGAAGCTTCTTGTTGGCAGACAAATCATTCAACATTAGTTAGGAGTAATTAATATCATTTTATGGTCACAGGTACTAGGTATAATCCCGAAACCGGCAGAAGACACATCAGACAGACATTGCATGTTGCTTTCCTTTTATCAGAGTTTGGTTGCCTGCAAAACTACAAATGCCGTTACCGAAATTTATCGCCAAGTGCTTACTGTGCGCCGATGTCAATCTTGGTCTAAAAGATTTCAATTGGGCAATAGAATTTCAAATGGTGCGTTAGAATGTGTACCACCTCGGGCTTGCTATGAAAAGACTAGACAGGAACGTAAAGGATGAACATTCAAGCTTATTGCATAGAAAGTAGATAATTTACACAACTTAGCAATTCCAGACCCTTGTCACCCCTCATACGCTCCTCATTGGACAGACCAAGGTCCATTAGATCATTGCATTTTCAGACACCATAGAGCATACTCTAAGGGAAAACAATTTCGTGTTGACCAAACAAAACAAAATTTGTGTGTATATCCTTTTCTGCAAGCACATTCATGTGGCCTCTTCAAGTATCTAGTTTCAAAAGTGCGCTACCCATAAATTCTATATCATTGCATTGAGAGTAAGACAACGTCTGATTCAGCTGATTATATGTTACTTGAATGTCGTTTTATATTATCAGCTCATACTTCAAATAAATTAGGATTTCGGTCAGCAGTTGCTGTTGAATAACTAAGTTGGGTTTTAAAAAATAATAAATTATTCGTGTCGTTTTAATTCGAACTTCTTTTGTGGAACTTCCAGAAAGTATTTTTAATTATCCTGTTATGGAAAAGCCAGTTCTGTTCGATATTCCATTGCAAAATTAAAATGCCAAATACAATGACCAACGAAGTTGTAGATTTAGTGTTGACGGTTTGTAAAAATGCCACTGCAAGTAACTTGAACCTGTTGAAAAGTTAAACTAAACTTCCGTTAGAGTAAATCACACTGTTAAAATACATGTCAGTATAAATACCATTAATGGGGAATTAATATACAAATATATAACGTTGAATTCTGGAAAAAGATGAAGCATATTCGACAACATAATAGGTTCATTTGTTAAGGAAATCCTTCTCCTCATAAATATCTCCACATCGAAAACGTCCTGAAAAACACCAAGTTATCAAAGTCCGTCGATGATTGGAAATCAGCAATTGGAGTGAAGTATGTTCCGACCAACACTTAACCTTCAAAGTCACAGGTTCTATAAGTAGACTATCTGACAGAGCGCAATTTGCAATTGCGCTGGATTTCAGGCAAAAATTTCGTGTCATGTTTGGGCTTTTATATTCCTTTTTAAAAGTCATGATTATAATTCCGTCCATTATTTATTAATTTGACTTAAATTATGGTAGATACTACACAAATAGGCTTCGACTAAACCACAGCGATCAATATGTCAAAATCCCCCAGTATGAAATGCCTCCGGTAATTAGCTGAGATACCTCAACGATATTAAGGAGACAGAACGTATGACGTGGAGTGCGTCTATTGGCTTGGCCATTGATTGGTACAGAGCTTAGTCATCAAATACAAGTGGCTATTGATTATAGGTTGGCTGGGAGATCTCTGCATTCACGTCCTCATTTGCTCCTTAACATGATCAGCAAAATAATTGAGTGCGCATGAAATTCTTTAGTTCATGCGCATGCTAGGATTGTTTACTCCACAAGACACCGCTCACGGAGACGTTTCTCAATAATTGTAATAAGGTAGCGAAATTCCCAATTTTAACAATAATCTTACATTTTCATTCCTGTTACATTCATTTTACGCCAGGCGATAATTCAAGACAGTTATTATATAGCCATGACATGCAACAAAAGATAAAAGTTGGTTAGTAGCCAAAGTATAATTCGAAAATAAATTTTTATCTGTGACTTGTTTACATCTGTGAATCATTATTCTGTCCCCCCTCTCGACTTTTTGTCACTTTGATGTCCCTCCTCGCTGTAAGGCCCGAAGTCAGCTAAAGAGCTGATGATAACTATCAAAACATCTGCCATTTGAATTAAATAAATTTTTGAATGTATTAATTGGAGGCTCTTTTGGTATTAATAAAAATAAATGGATCTGAAATGGATAGCCACCCACTTAACTAAAACTACATAATAATTTGACTTATGAAATCATAAGTCGGTTCATGAAAATAGAACTATAGAAAACCAGATTTAAATAAAATGAAATCTTGGCAAGTAGTGGAAAAGCTGGTGGGCATATTATTTAAATGAGCTTAAAACTAACTTATGTCCTAGTTATCAATCTCTATCTAGATCTTCTCCCATTTCCATGTAGATTTCAATATCACCATTTTTGTCTTATAGGGTTGCTTCCCGATTCAATAAACAAAATTATTTTGAGTAAACTTTACGCTTTTGACATATCTCTAATGCTTTTAAGTGGTGCTCTTTCTCTTTTCCCAATTTAATTGGTCCTGTATGTGCTCTAACCTCCTATCTTAATGTATAATGAGTTTCATGTGATGACAGTAATTTTACATTGTCCCCTATGTCCATGCAATAAAAGACATTCAGAAATTTCCAGTATGAGAAAGCATTTGATCAAGGAGAGGCTGAAAATGAGATCACGTAAAGTTGGAAAAGGAGATAGAAGTAATGAAAAGTGGGTAAGGAGATCAAGGGCATTGAGATACTTTCTGTACCTTAGGTTCAAAATCATTGCGGTTTGTCAGGCTACTTGAAGTCATCTTCTCCTTAGGACTTCACTTTAGGTGAGATTCTAAATGATATTAATGGGGTGGTACCTACTGGATCTCACTCTAACCGAATTCTTATAATAATAAAAAACTACATGTCCTATTATTTGTTCTCATAAACTGCATTAATGTCTTGTTAATTAAAGGGGTAAAGTTATTTCAGCCGAATGATAGGCTATTATGATAGCTATTATCATTATCCCCTTAGTTGACTTTGGGTTTCACAGAGGGGAGGAGCAGACGAAGTCACAAAAAGTGAAGAGGGGGAGCAGAAGAGTGATTCACGGATGTAAAAGAGACAGACAGAAGGTGAGTTATGTGGAAGTGGGGTCATGGTAGTTTGAAGTCAATTTTGGCGCATGAGCGTACATTGCCCAGGGTGTACCACGTGGCGGGAAGTCTAACGGACACCCATTACAAGGTAAATTGAGTGATTATATGCTTTATTAGTCGGGATGATTAATTAATCTGGGGGTGTGCGATAGACTTACCTCCACGTGGTGCACCCTGGGCAACGTATACTCATACGGCAAAAAAGTCTATTAATCGGCAGTTGACTTCTGGCTTCTAACTACCACGACCCTCCCCCCTGGTTGTCATATTCGACCCCTTCCTCAGTACTCATCTTACCTTTTTCCCTACCGTTATGTCTGTCTGCCTCTTTTACATCTTTGAATCGCTCTTCTGTTCCCCACCCCTCGACTTTCTGCTACTTTGATGAACCTTCCCCCTGTGAAGCCCGAAGCCAGCTAAATGGCTAGTGATATCTATCAAAACGCCTGCCATTTGAAATAAATTAAATAAATAAATGATTAATTAATCTGCCTAGGATAAATGGCAGTTTTATTTACAGGCACTGATCTTGAATTAATGGCCCGATTTATTAATTAATTGCATAACAAATAAGGAGATAACATTCAGAATCGGCACTTTATTATTTGCAATTTGTCAAATTTTCCATTTATTTCGGAGTTTATCATGACACAATCCACTGATCAAGATAATGGAGGATGATAAAAGCGCACAACTTAATTCACAAACGAACAAATTTTCCTCAATTTCGGCAATTTCAAGATCTGACCACTAATTGCAGGGTTGAGAAATATTCATGGTCTATCCATTCGTAAAAAGTCAAGCGTAAAATGGGCACAAAATCTCCTTATTACGCATTGAAAAATCTGTTAAAACCACTACGAGGGAAGACTACAGAACATGGCCGAATTTATTCAAGCGTCAATTCGTGGGATACTTTTAGTACTTCAGTGTACACTGTTATTTTAAATAAAAGTTTGGAAATAATTGATACAGCGAAGGAATTTTGGCATTGACAAAGTGGTGTCCAGGGAACTAGACCAAAGAAACCGAACAATGCCGAAAACAAAATATAAATGTGCATGAATCCACCATAATCTCAGGAAAAATTGTAATTTGTGAACTAGAGATGATAAAATTAATTTTAAATTGCTAAACCTAGGAAAAAGTATTGAATTAATTTCTAATGAGTTTTACTGTGTTTTGATTACTATCCTACAGTCTGTCAATGGGGATGAACGTTTTTCTGTTCTTTAAAGATGTAAATATATAATGAACTTGTAAATCACTTGACTTGATGGCTGGGTTTCAGCCCACTAGTAATGAATACGCTTTTTAAAAACGGGTTATTATAATAACTAATGGTATTTAGGAATCATGTTCCCAGACTGAAAACTGCCTATTACCTCAACCTAATTAATGCAATATTGAGAAATGAGTCCGTATAATTTTTTCTAATAAACCAATTGACATTGGGAGTCTTAATAAAGCTTAAAAGTAGAACCAAACAGTTTCCAGACATTTTTTGAGTACAAATCCGTCATGAATGGATAATGACATCTCATGAGCATCTAGACAAAGTTGAAGGTGCGACCGTGTTACTTGTCACCCAGTGAGCAAGTGCAGTTGTAAGTGCAGAGACTTCTCAGTCCCTGGATTGTCTAACATACCTTTCCCTGCCTGTAAAAACACTCTTCCCTAATAAACGTATTCCTCTATAGCTTAGCTAATCCTGGGAGCCTTTTCAAACTGGGGGAACGCATCATAGGGATTACTGAGCATAAGTCCAGACTTATTACTGTGGTAGTCCGCTACACAACTATTGATCTTATCTAACGGCCACCAATGGTCTGATAATAGCAATCATTCTACTTTAATTAAATAATACTAATTTAAATGGAAATATCCTTACTTATATCAACTATTTATTCAATTTTGCTTTTTTAAAGTAATTAAAACTCAAATTAAAATTACCTTTTGCTTACCACCTCAACATACTAACGCGCGTAGAGTACAATTCCGACTTTCTGTATCTTCAGGCGCCGATATGCTAAAATAAAAACAACGCTTGAATTAATAATCTTCTAAATAAGAAATGTTTTCACTGCCTAGTCCATTTTCCGACAATTGTTTTTTATGCAGGAAGCGAAAATTTGCACACAATTGGTGGGGAAATTTAAATTAATGTAAATTAAATGGCTACTAAATGAAAATAGCCTTGGAGAAGAGTTTGGATTAACAAATGATGAAAGAAACAAAAGATTTTTCTAATTGATAAAATCGACTTTAACGTTTTTCCAAATGCTTCTATCTTGAAAAATGGACTTAATCCAAATTACTTTGAAGCTCTTCACCATTAAATCAAAGTTACTTGGCAATGAAATTGTGTACGTAGAGGCAACTGATATTGTGAATTCAATTCTTTTCTTCCCTTCAAATTGTATCGCTTTTAATCAATTGCACTACCTACAAACAGTAAATTTTTACGTTTCCTTTGGATTATTTTATGGTTATATTGGACGTTTGAAAGGGTTGTGAAGTGCTTAGTAATTTTATTGACGGATCAAGAAATTTCAAGCTCACTCGAGCAGTTTCAGTGTTTAACGAAGACTTGATTTTTTTAAGTGATAAGCTCTGTGCCAGAAACACAACCAAAACATGCACCACCCAATCCGCTTTATTCTCCTGGAAGCTCAGCTAATTCCGAGAAGAATGTTGCCATTGTGATTGCTGAGGTTTAGTCAAGGCTAATTTGTGAATTATTATCAGGAATTTTAGAAAGGAATATAAAACGTACAAATATTACATGATAGTTTATTTGAAATTTAACTTAATTAAAGATATCCAGTTGCGCCATGTCAACTAGTCTACTGGACATCATCAGGCAGTATTTCAGTTTACCAAACGAGCACCCCCGTTGACTAGTATCTTTACTCCGTTCTTAAGTAAATATTTTGTGACCACCCGTTAGACTAACGCATGGCACAGAGAATTCATCCTAATATGGCTTAATTATGACGATTCTTGCTGCATTTACACTTTAACCCTGTGCCTCCAACTTATAACGCCAAACTCGTTTCTCTTTCCCTCTCGATCCACTTCCAGTGTATTAGATTTTTAACTAATTGAAGGTCTTTCTCACCGACTACACTTCAAGAAAACCACAAGCTTTGCTAAGAGACATCTTCATGTCCTTCCTCTTTGGACTTCTAATGGCTGTTCTTCTGTCAGGTCATTTACATTTGAGTTACTGATCCTTTATTAACCTTGTAATATATGCCAGGACTTCTCAGAGTGCACTTATACCGGACACTGAAAGTGCACAAATCTGAAAAACATAATTGAAATATGTCTTAGTATTATCTATTTGTTGAGTTAACGAATTATACTATATTTAAATGTAGATTTAAGGTATAGGAGAGTTACATTTTCCCCAATATTGTCTAATTTTTACTGTTTATTGCCCCCTTTTTACTTAAAGGCACCCTTAATATGAGGCTGACTGGCTACCAATCATATAAAGTTTCCTTCTCCTTATTAATAATTTTGGCAATGCCTGTGGAATCACTTTGGCCGGATACTTAATTAAAATGATGAAGTAGAGTTGTCCACAAAATATGTGATCTCTCATCTCATGTGTACTGTTAAAAGAAGCCTTACCAAAACTTGAAACAAAAATTGTGGTCTAGGCTCACTCATTTGTAGCAATTGTTAACTGCATAAAATTTTTTTCACAAGCCAGTTCAAATGAGTTAATTTTTTTAATTATTTGGTTGCATGAAAATAAAATTAATTAATTGAAAATATAGTTTCTCTAAAATACTTCAACAGAGATAAAAGTCATCTCTTCAAATCTTCCAATAGTCTTTATGCCGGTTTCTCACCACCCCCTACCCCCTTGCCCCACCCAATATTGAAAATTAATAAAAGTCGATGTTTCACAAGTTTACTTCTATTCCACTATTTCGAAATTGTCGAAGAGCCAGGATTGAAACATCATTGAAACAAACCGAGAAATGAACAAGCAAAGGTGGGTTAATTGGTCATAGTGCTTCAATTTACAGCCTTCCGAGTTGTCAGACTAAGGGTGCCATGGTGTCAGACCTCAAAGCATACAGATTAGATAGAAAAAATATACATTCAGAGAGATTTTGGTGCTTCAGTTTGGAAGAACTCATTGTGAAAAGGGGGGGGGGATAAATGAGAATTAGTAACCTTTCCGGCGAACCATAGCAAAGTGCGTGGTTTCCCAGTCATTCTTCCGTCGGTCCCCACGTTGAAGAGTTCCAGTGAGGATATAGCCAGCATGAAAATCTGACTGCGTAACATTACTTGTCAGGAAGATGCAAAAATGGGGTTTACCTGCGCGCCCTTCCTCGTCATTTTTGAACTTTCCCGTCACGAAGAGGGCTCCATCGTGTTTAGTGCACATTGCTCTGGCTCGCGTTACGTATCGCCGGTTAGATCCACATATCTAAAAGAAAAAAATTATTATCATCGGCGAAAAAGGTTAATTGTCATAATTTGGTCTTTACTCCATTGATAACCCTTCCTAATCTAATCAGTTAACGCCAGATTGAGTGAGGGTATTAAAGAGCCAATAAAAACTTTCTATCTGTCATTAGCACAATGTTTACTCACTTATCCTATCGACCAAATTCTCGCAAATATTAATAAATCAAGTTTTTAAATAGAAAAGAGGTTTTGACTTCAGCAACTGAAGTTATACAGGGCTTCTGACTTCGAAAATGAGCCTCAACCCTCATTTTACTTTTCTCATTCCTCTGGTAAATAATGAAATAAATTCGAAGAGCGCCGATGTAAATGGTATCCGTGTTGCGAAATTTGCCTTTGAGCATGTTGGATAAATGATTGCTCACTGCTGAAGGTGGTTTAATAGAAAGCAGAAAATAAATTTTGATATATGACATTGATATAACCTGTGTTCGTAACCACTGGGTTCTCTCAATTAATGTTCAACAGCAAATTACCTTTTAATATATGTGTGCGTGCATCCATGGAGAGTTGGAGCTAATTTGTTGTGTCATTTTTAGTTATTTAAAGTGAATAACGCTAATCATTTTTGCCCAATCATTTTGCGCTGAAAAGTGCAAAATGCTTTGATGGAAAGTGAGAAAACCAATGAGTTCAAGGCTTGAAACAAGCAGAATTTAATTAGAACTCTGGAACCATCTCTATGTATTTTTCTTTGTTGAATTCCTCTGGCAAATGTTTTAAAGTAATATTTACAGAATTTAATTCGTGGGTTCCATGCTGACTTTAATTACGCGATATTCATGATTCACTGAAATCTCGATTCCTCATTCTCTTAATATAACTGGTTGGTTTTTTTGGCATAAGAGAACTCATTAGAGATTAAATATTAGTGCGCTTATTAGCTTCAAATATTAATTTAATTAAAGTTAATTTCATTTACATTTGCAAAAACAAAAAATTTTATTCGAAACAAACTTAATTGTATTGAAGCAATTTTTGTGTCAAAGAGGCTTCTGTTTTGATGGATGCACCTGTCTCTTTTCAGTGTCAAAATAGCTATTGAAAAATAAGCCTTACTTATTTGATTAACAAAGATTAAAAGCGTTGAAAGTGATCTATATTTAACTTATAAATAATTTTAAAAGTGTCTGATGCAGGATTTTAAGTGGAAAGCATTCTCTTATTAACAAATAAATTTCAATTTTTTGTTATGAAAACCAATTTATTTATAAAAATGTAGAAGTTAATTGACTAGAATATTGACGTGAAAGCATTCTGCTGCCAAATACCAATAATAATGCTACCACTGACCGGAAATTGGCTGTCAAAGTTGAATTTCTGACTTACTTTGACAACGGAACAGTATCGGTAGGTGAACCAAGGAAATCTGAGCTCCCATCGATTGCAGACATTTGTAGCAGGAACACTCTCAAAGGCGTAGAGTTCAAGTGGCATCTCCCTTCCGTTGATTTGTATCAGCTTATCACAACGCCTACCCAAGGTCTCGTAGTAGAACAATTGCACCATTTCTTTTCTTAGAAAATTAAGGTAAAATAGGAAGATTTAGTTTCAAACATAAATCGGCGAATCAAAACGAAAGTTTACTTCCAAAGAAATATATAAATATCAACACTAACTTGAGAGCATATTCTATTTCTTGTCAATGGGAAATAAACAATATATGTTCATTTAAAACCTTTTCCAACTACAAATTTTAGTTTAGATGGTCATGGATCATCAAACACATTCAACATTTTCACTGGACATTTTCTGAAAAGGGTGAATGGGTGTTGGTTTATAAATGTGAAAATTTACTTACAGTTGAACCTTAATATTTAGACTTTTTAATTTTAGAGCATTTAAATTAAACCTTGAAAACATTAAATATTGAAAGGAAACCACTCATTTCCTATACTCCATTGCCTTTTTACCTTGTCATTCGTGTTTTTTCCTAAACGTAATTATTAAGAAATAAAAAACTCTCTTCTAATGAATAAACGTCAGCGAATGTTGAAATAGCCAAGACAGTTAAAATATATCATCTATTGCTTTGTCTAGGGAATGAAGACGTTTGCAGAACAAATATTTTCTCGTATCCATTTTATGAAGATAACAATTTGTGGATAAATTAAAACGACTTTTTACATTTGCATTCATTAGGAAATGACAATTTTTGAGTAAACTTTATTTTATCGACGATTTTAAACAATACTGCATTAAAGAAACGGTTTCAGAGGTTTTTGAAAAATATTATACATTTGTTTTATTATTTTACAATAAAAAATAATTATTTTAAATGGTCATTATTATTATTTGATGGCCCTGTAAATGCAAAATCAAAATTTTACTAGCCAATGTATACCAGTACTATTTTCAAATACTTTCTCACTTTAAATTTTAAAATAAGCGCAATAAATCAAGCCAAGATTCATCGTATACCTATTTGACAATGTTGTGAGTGCAATGGAAATAGCATTGACACGTGAACAATTGATTAGATGCTCCAAAGAACAAATTTCTCCATGTGGAAACAATTTTGAATGTGATCGAGAAATCTTTTGAAAGCAGTGTGTACAACAGTGATCAATAGCTAAGTTTAATATTGAAACATATATGAAGTTCAAACTTAATAAAAAAGTTTATGATTTTATTTAAATCAAATGCAGTGAACTAGTCCCGTTTTTAAATTACATCTAGCACGTTATACATTTCACAGTTGATAAATTAGACATATATTCCGAGAATATTCTTAAGATCAAATTTTTAATTACGACGAATATGTAAAATTGGTACAAAATTTTATAAATTCCAACTTTAAATTCCATGGTTTTAACTGTCTTGTGAATGTCTGGTCTTAGAGAGAAATTCTGTGGTACATTATGGGCGATTATAACAGTTGGCCTCTTCGATAATTACACAACTATATAGTCACATGACCTCTTTTCACAAAAGAGACTACGCATTTAGATTTGATTTTATATTCACTCTAGAGTAATGTACGAAACATCAGCCAATATGCTCAAATTTCAATTGGTTTATCCACTTTAATATCAAACTTTAAACTCTGGCGAAGACAATCATTGCGTACTGTTTTGGTATAATTTAAAATTGTTTTCTCCAAATATACGACTGATATATCAGTTTCATATCTAAAAGCTCTTGAATGGTGTTCATCACGCGGTGAATTAGTCGTTGCATCAAAAGGAAAACTGATTTTTTCCCAATGTATTTCATTTAAGGTGATTTTATTTCTGAGTTTCTTATGCAAGCACATTTCTCTTTTCTGTTGACGAAAACAGTAGAATTGTTTTTACCACGGAGTATATTGAGTCTGTGTTCTTTAAAGACGTCCTACAATAGAAATATTGAATTCTTCTGGTTGGTGTAAAGTACTATCAATTCCAAGTCATGGTAGAATCAAAGCAGATATAAAAAGTATCAAAGTAATCCAAAGGTTTCACGACTTCAAATGTGGCAAGCAGCTGAAATCAGGTAGAATGAAATTCAATAAATGATGTAGATAAAGGGTTTTGAAACAACACTGAAAGCAGCACCAAGCCAAAAAGAAGTCTTTTATCATTAAATTTTTGCACTCGAGCTAATTATTTTTTAATTGCACAGTTAATTAGTCGTATTGTTGCTTAACCCTCGAGATGTAGTCCTATAATGTTAAATTCAATTTTATCTATTCCGACTTTTTGTCCGAAACGTCACATCGAAAACAATAATTCTCATTTCATCAAACGCCAAGTTCGCCATCTGATTGATGATGAAATAATTTTATTCACATATAATTTAATTGTCTCCTTCTTCAACTTTTCTCGGGCCTGGGAGAGCTGATTTAGACTGCTGAGTCAGACAAACATAAATTACAGCTGTCTCGTTTATTTTTCAGCCGGGGGTGGAGGGCGGGGAGACATGTTCATTTTACAGATTAAATAGTTTTTGAAAATCAATTCTTTGCTCTATTTGCAGCCTTTTGGGGACGGTTGAAAGTGTGAGTAAAACAAACCAGGCAATTTACTAAACTTAATGGTTTGAAAATTTTTCTGAGGCAGATGATTTAATTTTATTTATTAAAAAATTTGTTCGTTGTTAAGAGTAGGATGCGCGATAATATTGTTATTTAAGCAACAAGTATAATTAAAAAGCTGATTTCCAACTCTTTTGTGTGTATTCAAGAGACTACTAATTTACACCATTTCTCTAAAAAAATGTGTGAAAATATTATTTTGATAATATGAATATATTGCAGTGAGCTAATTAATATTGGCAATATTAATATAAATAATTATTATTAATTTGTTAAATGTAGAAAGAAGTAGACTACCCGAGCACTGTAATGGCGACCAAAAAGTGTGAAAATTTAATGGAAAAATATTATACGGATCAAGATGCATTTGTCTATTAGCTTCAAATTCCCCAAGTTAATAAGATAACATAAGATAATAATAAATATGATAATAGTGGGCTAATTTCTAAATCAATAACAATACAGAATTTAATTTTGAACAAGCTCGATCGATAATTTCTTTGGTCTACTTTTTGGAATTGACGCTAACGATGAGGGATTCATATCAACAACACTAAAGATATATATATATATATATATATATATATATATATATATATTAGACGTATAATCAATAGCTGAATTAGCGTAATTCACTCATGTTTTATTACTTCGTGAGTTCATATAAATAAAAATATATATATAAATCCAGGAAAATAGGGAATAATAATTTATGATTTTGCAAATTAATCATATTTTTGTTTCCTCTTTCATAAATTTATGCCAGAATATTAGTCGTTGTACAAATAATTAATTTGTCTAGAGCGTACATTTATTAAGTTTAATATTTGAAACAAGCAGCTATTGACTGTATCTTTCTGTGTTATCAAAAACTTTATTATCCTGTTTCCAATGTTATCCTTTGCAATTCTGCAAAGTAAAACCACGTATTTTAAAAAATTTCTCATCAAGTTAGGTGCTACAAGTAAAATAAGTCAAATTTAAAGAAATGCAACTAATGAGAAAAAAAATACAAAAAATATTATATTCAAAATTAAATAAATTTACATCTAGAATTCGATCGTGTTTCATTGAATTTTTAAAAATCAAATTGTGAGTTTTAACATCGAAGTAAATTGTTAAATGTATTTACTACTTAATTTGGTTATGATTATTCTAAATCGATCTTACCGACCTAAACAGAGAGTCAAATAAAATATAAAGAGCATGATCCAGAGGGATACCGAGAATGACATCATGCTAATAGCGAGTGCGGTATTCACTAAGTGGAATGTTTGCGCTCTAAAATTACTGTTTTTACTGATTTTCCCCCCATTGCTCACAATGATAAATGCTTATTGACACAATTTTTAAATCATGAGGGGTCGACCTCGCTTCTTCAACTCATATAATGCTTCAAAGGTTGAGAAGCCAGAGGTAGCAGCTTTCAATTTTTACCTAGCAATAATTGAGCTTCATAAACTGCTTGTGACAAATATTTCAGCATTTCAACATATTATTCTATTTAATCTATAACTCATTATACCTAAAATTTCCATCAAATTTGTTTAGAATTCTGTTCTGCTATCACAGAACTGAATAAAAAATGTTTTTATTTTCTTATTTCTCAATAAATTTGACTTATCATAACATAGAGTAGCAATTTCTTCCAAAGACACAAATTTTAGTCAATTATTTAATCCTAGGATAGAGGCAGTGTAAAAATATCAACCATTTTGAAATCGACCTAAATCGAAATTCCACCATTTGAAGCGGCTATCGGAACGATGTCAATGACTCCGTCTACACTAGCTTTAAAGTCCGGAAGTGATGATTGTAGAGGTGTGGGCCACCCATTTTTCCATCTGGACTAACTCAAGATGCTAAAATTCTTCTCTTATTAAACAAAATAGAAAATTCTTTTTTAAAATTTGTGAGAATAAACTTGAAGGCCATTTTAAGCCCCAATTCATGAAAGGTTATCCGTTTGTCCCTTATGGCAATGAAAATAAATCAACCGAGAAGAAATTTTCAAGTATCCTAGGCGTGAATAGAACAAAGACCTTCTTTTATACCTCCACTTTTAAAAGGGCGCGTCATCTAATTTTCTTTCTTTACTTTGTGTCGTTATATTTGACAACGAGCGTTAATTTGTCTATAAAAATAGTTAAATCACAAATGCTCTAGAAACAGCTGATTTATCCAGAAAATGAGTGTTGATAGCTGGGAGCATGAAATATCGTTCTAAGTTATCTCTCAATGCAATTTATGTTGGCACGCGTCTGGATTCCCAATTAGTTCAATCAGCGTACCTGCATTTCACAGCACAGCAGATATTTACTTTATGCTGTAAAAATATCTAAACATTTGAGAATATAGACATAAGTCCTTATTTTTAAGAATCTTAGGAATCTTTGCCTTCATACAGTCAAATTTTTACAACTGCCTGTCGAAGACTCCGTTTCTTATTTAATTTCGTTCACGTATTGTTCCTAACAACAGGGTTGAAAGTGTC